ATTGGGAGAGTCCTATACTAGTTTGTTCCACAGGTTGAGACAATTGGATATGTTGAGGCCGATTGAGGCAAAGTTGCCAAATCCTCCCCCGAGAAATCTTGATTATTCTGTAAGCTGTGAATATTGTTCTGGTGCTCCGGGTCATGACACGGAGAAATGCTGGCATTTGAAAAACGCTATTCAAGAGCTTATTGATACCAATCGGATTGAAGTCCAAGCTCCGGAGGCACCTAATATCAACCAGAACCCATTGCCGGCCCATCATGAGACAAATATGATCGAGATAGTGCATAAGGGAGGGGAGCCTAAGAAGCCTTCACAGACCATCATGATGATTCGGTCCAGTGAGGTCAGGCCGGTTGAAAAGTCAACAAGGGAGAAATCAGTGATCAGGTTGAGCGGGACAAATAGTGAACCATCTGCGGTAGTCAAGAAGGGGTCCTCAAGTGAGGTTGCAACGAAACAAGAAAGGGCAAAAGTGGTTGTGCCAGGAGTGGCGAACAAGCCTGTCGTGATTGTGGAGGGTGCCCACACAGATTCCGTCATTATCACGCTAGGCGCCAGGAAGCGCCCAGTAACAACAGTTCCTAGTTCTGTGGTTGATCTTGATAAAGAGTTGATTGAAAGGGTCGAGAAGTTGTTTGACGATGTGAACATGGTGGAAGTTGGAGAGGGTTCTAGCAAGGCGGATATGCAATTTGTCGGGCCAAGTGCAAAGATTAACAATTGGGAAGCTACTCCTCTCCTTACCCGGAAGGAGTTTTGGTAGTTTGCTTTGATTTTCTTTCAGTTTATCAGGATTATTCCTGGGTTGTAAGTCAGATTCTACGTTCCATCCGTTTGGATGTATAAACCTTGTTATCTTTTGATTTTCAATGAAATGCAATTTCCCTTTTTCATCATTCCTGATAGTTTCATTTTTATTTTTCTTTTCTTCCTTGTACAGTTCTTTTTATGTTGGTTTCAATGACATGACATGCATGAAGAATCTTCGGCCCAGTTTTAAAAGCCAAGCTAATTCTGAAAAGTTGAAATCCCATCCCTTCGGATTGTCGCTGAAGTCGAAATTGATGATGATGAGTGGGTCAGAACCCGCCTGAGCAATTGAGTTTGATCGATGAGAAAAGATTGGCAGCAGTGTGTCATGGCCAATGTATCAACAGAGAATGGCAAGAGAATATAATAAGAAGGTGCGTCCACGGAAGTTCGAAGTGGGTCAGCAAGGGTTGAGACGTATCCTTCCACATCAGGCTGAGGCCAAAGGCAAGTTCGCCCCAAACTGGCAAGGGCCGTTCATCGTAACTAGAGTGTTGTCAAATGGCGTTTTGTACTTGACAGACATAGAAGGCAAGTGTGTAGAAATGGCCATCAATTCCGATACGGTCAAGAGATACTATGTGTGATTTTTTTTGGTTAAATTGCATTTGTTTTTACTTGGCATATTTTGAAGATTGGAACGACGAAGGCATTTTGTTCTGCTATCTAAACACTTTATCCTTTGTTACCCCTTTGAGCCTTATTTATTTTCTTTCATACCCCTCTTTTGGAATCAATTGCGAAATTCAGCAAAGCAGTAAAGGGAAAAGAGAGAAAAGAAAAGAATGAAAAGAGAAAAAAAAAGAAGAAAAGGAAAGGAGAAAAAGAAAAAAAAAGAGAAAAAAAACCAACAAAACAACAAAAAGAAAAGGAAAGAAAAAGAGAGAAAGAGAAGAAAGAGAGAAGAGAAAATCACAACAACAAAGCAATTTCTATGTCATGAACCACGTTCGACCTGATTCCTTTTAAGGATACGTAGGCAGCCTCACGGTTCGGTCCCATCAAAATAAGATCCAAAAGTCCCCAAGAAAAGAAACTGGGGCAGAAGTTGCGGTTGTTGTAAGAAATCTGATTCCGAAAGTTGTAACTTTAAACCCATTTGAATTGTTTTGAGCCTTTAATACCCTTTCTTTCTAACCCTATCCAAAAGCCCACATTACGGTCTAAAGAAAGACCTTTTGATCAGTCTTCAAGAAATGCTAAGTCGAGCAAGAAGAGGTGATTCATATCTGGGGCAACACTCCGGTCCAAGCAGGAGAAGTAATGAAAAATGAGAGAGTCTTATTGGTGAAAACCCTTACGGGCACCGTAAGGCAACGGGAGCTGAGAGAAAGAAAAACAAAGAGAGTCTTATTGGTGAAAACCCTCACGGGCACCTTGAGGCGACGGTGAGTTGAGAGAGAGAACAAATGAGAGAGGTCTGTAGGTGAAAACTTTCAGGGCACCGCAGGATGAACAAGGTTAAGGTTTGGGTGAAGAAATCAGGTTATGAAATTTTGGGGCAACAAAGTACGACAATTGAAAGTTGATTGGTTGGACAGATTGGGCCGATTAATCCAAAATGCATGTCATGATCAATGGTACCAGCTTGTTCCACTCAGATAAGCCTCTTTTCCTTTTAGCAAGTCGTCCATGTTTTGGATTTTCTTTATCCTTAACTCTCAAGGTCATTGCATTTCATTTCTTTCGGGGTTTTGTTTCTCTAAGATGTTCCAATGTCAGTCTTGTTCAAAGCAAATAAGAAAGAATTTCGAAGCTCACTACCAACTTCTAAAATTGCAAAGCACAGTGTGGCCAGAACATACCAAAGATAGCATGATGTAAAGTGGGATATAAGGAGTCACCGGAAGTTTCATCGGTGGAATTACTTGGTAATTTCATGGGAGATGCAAAGGTTCAGAGAAAAGGGGTCAGAGAGGTAAAACAACGGTTTGGGTATAGAACACTCGGGTCATCCAATGTCATGGGGTTTGAAAGTCAGTCAGAAAGTCAAGCGGTTCAGGGCCAGTCCGGGGAAGCAGGTCAAAACAAAACACGGCAGCGGAAAGACCTTCAGCAAGAATGCCATCAACTAACCACCATTTTAAACTGACAAGATTTTCCTTTGATTGAAACAGGGGCAGAAAATTTTGTTTGTTTCGGAGAAACCCTTCGTAAGGAAAGGCAAACACCAAACAGGTATGACTGTAAACTTTCAGGACCCTCCTGGAAAATGGGACCTAGTTTAAAAATCGAAACAGTCATAAGTAGCAAATCTAGCATAAATGTACCCCAAGGAATATAAGTTGGTTTCAAAATTTGCATGTTTGAGATAGGATTCAATTAGGAGTTTTCAGGACCCTCCTAGAAAATGGGACTTAGTTTAAAAATCAAAACAATCGTGAGTAGCAAGATCTAGCATAAATGTACCCCAAAAGAATATAAGTTGGTCTCAAAATTTTCATTCTGGAGATATAATTCAGTTAGGAGTTGTCAGGACCCTCCTGGAAAATGGGACTTAGTTTAAATTTCAAAACAGCCATGAGTAGCATAGTTTAGCATAAATATACCCCAAAGGAATATAAGTCGGCTTCAAAGTTTGCACGTTTAAGATAGGATTCAATTAGGAGTTTTCAGGACCCTCCTGGAAAATGGGACCTAGTTTAAAATTCAAAACAATCATGAGTAGCATAATCTAGCATAAATGTACCCCAAAGGAATATAAGTTGGTTTCAAAGTCTGCATGTTTGAGATAGGGTTCAATTAGGAGTTTTCAGGACCCTCCTGAATAATGGGACCTAGCTTTAAGATTGCTGTTAGATAACAAGATGTAGCGAAAATAATACCTTTAGAAGATATAACTTAGATTTAAAATTGTTGTTTAATTAAGAATTGTCAGGACCCTCCCGGATAATGGGGAGTAGTTTAAGACCCTCTTAGATAACAAGATTTAGCGACAGTCACACCTTTAGAAGATATAACTTAGATTTATAATTGTCGTTTAATTAAGAGTTGTCAGGACCCCCTGGATAATAGGACCTAGCTTTCAAATTCTTAGTAATATTTGGTAAAATGATTCAGTTTAACACTCATCTATGTGCCCAGCTACCAAACTGGGGCAGAAAATTTTCTTTATTTTGTCTACTTTTGTTGAAATCAGGTACCCCACTTGGAGAACAGGGAGAAGCAATTCAGTTAAGCAAT